TTTGTTGATGGGCACCTGAGTTATTTCCAATTTTTGCTATTGTGAACAAAGCAGCAGTAAACATGGGTGTGCATATATCTGCTTGGGTGGTTGTTATGGTTTCTTTAGGGAGTGTTCCCAGTAGTGGAATTACTGGTTCAAATGCTATTTCTATTTTCAGCTTTTTGAGATAGTGCCATATAGCCTTCCATAGTGGTTGCACCATTTTACACTCCCACCAACAGTGTATAAGGGTTCCAGTTTCTCCACAACCTTGTCAGCATTTGTTTTTTGCTGTTCTGTTGAATTTTGCTATTCTTACCAGGGTGAGATGACATCTTATAGTTGTTTTGTAGTTTGGAACTCTTACAGCCCCCAGGCTGGGTAGGAGGCCCTGGAGTCCAGGTGCTGGTACAGGTACCAGGGTCTGGAGCTGCACTTTTTTTGGACAATGGTAGCAAAGACTAGAAAAACTTGATCCAATTGACCTAGAGAGATTGAGAAAGGGCAAGGAATTTTGGAAGGTGATGTATGAAGCAGACACATGGTAAAATAAAGGGGATCCTGGCCAGGGAACAAAGATTCTTATTTTAAGTGGAATTTCTTCCAAGGACTCACTGTGAGACCCTGGCCAAGTTCTAGAACTTCTCTGAACTTGTTCATAGCAGCCAAGTCAATAATACTTCTTTTATCGTGTTGGAGGAGGATTTCACAGTATGGGAATTATGAACACAATTATGTGAAGAGGACTGGGTTAAGTAAGACATGTGCTGTTGTGTGGTGTCCAGTTGGAGCGGACTCACAGCTGACTCTCTAATGAGTTTTCAGAGGTAGTTAATCACAGGAGAGATGATTGTCCATTCTTTTCCTGCAGAGCAGCTGATGGATTTGAACCACATGCCTTTGGGATTGCAGCATAGCTTCTTACCACTAGGCCACCAGAGCTAAGGCATGTGAGGGGCCACTGAACATTAATAATCTGTGATGTTTCTCCTCTGCTTACTTGTCCTAGTATGATATGTAAGATAAATGCCTATGTATATATATAAGTACATATATGTGTATGTTTGTCTCAGCTATTTATAATGTAACTTCTTTTTAAACGCAATTATAATATTAGTGATTAAATGCAAAAATGTCATGCCATCTTAGTGAAATACGATTAATTAGTGTTGTTAGATGCTGTCGAGTCAGGTACGACTCATTGTGACCCTGTGAACAACTGATCTGCACACTGTCCTATTCTGTGTCTTCTGCATAATCTCTGACACACTCAAGTCCATTGCTACAGTCATTGTCAGCCCACCTAGTCAAGGGTCTTCCTTTCTTTCATTGCCCCTCCACCTTCCCAGGCATGATGGTCCTCTCTAAGGAATAACTTCTCCTAGCAACATGCCCAAAGTATGTGATCAGCTTGTCTAAAATGAAAAGGAAAATATAAGTTTATCACATATAAAATTTATTAAAATGTACATTTTAAAAAAGATACTAATTTTATGTATAAAGAAAAATGTACATTTCTTTTTGTAATTATTCAGCTCTGAGTAGGGAACTATTCAGAGATACATACATAATTGACATAATTATAGTATCACTACTTGAGCAAATTTTTGTGAGTCATATCAAATCCAATAATTTCTCAAAAGCATGAAGGTAACACTTCATCAAAGAAGCCAGTCAGATGGCAAACAGACACATGAAGAAGTGTTCAAAATCCCTAGCTTTAAGAGAGATGCAAATCAAAACAACTTAGATATCTCACACAGTAAGAAGAACAAAATTCAACAGAGCAGCAAACAACAAATGCTGACAATGTGGAGAAACTGGAACCCTTATTCACTGTTGGTGAGAGTGGAAAATGGTGCAACCACTATGGAAGGCAGTATGATGCTTTCTCAAAAAATTGCAAATAGAAATACCATTTGACCCAGAAATTCTACTGCGGG